TTGTTTTTCAATGAACATTTACAGAAATTTTGGGTTTTCGTTCCTTCATTGTTGCACTGTTTTCTCTACCCTCCTCCCCAGTTCGTTCTTCTTCCCCCCCCCCATGTCTGTTTTAATTGTCCAGTTGCCACAGTGCTTGTCAAAGCTGTTAAATTAATTTTAATGAAGGTTTGCAGAGACTTAGGATTTCCCTTCATTTATTGTTGCCCTTTGCCCCCGCCCACCCCCTCCCCCAATTCGCTCTCCTCTTTGAAAAAGTAAAAGAAATTTCACTGTTATACAAGCCCTCCAAGTTCACTCCACTATGCAGCCTTCATTTTGGACTCCTGTCATGACAGTAATACCTAATGCTATATCCCTTTTAAACAGTTCCCTCTCTCATCTGTTTCAATGCAGTATACATAATTTATCCCATCTATCTCAGTCTCACCTCCTCAACCCGTTGTCAGTCCCGTTTACAACAGTGGCCCTATGCAATATTTGTCCTTTTGAGGCTTTGATATTTCCCTCAGCATACTGTCCTCCAGGGTCACCGATTTTGTGTAATATTTCATGAGTTCCTTGTTTTTTCAATGCTGCATAGTATTACATTGTGTGAATAGACCACAGCTTCTCTGTCTTTTCATTTGTTGATGGGCACTTGGGTTGTTTCCAACTCTTTGCTATGCTGAACAAAGGACCCGTAAACATGGGTGTGCAGATAGTATTTTTACTTTATCAGTTTTTTCAGATAAATTGGTTCCTCTGTGATTTTTTTTCTTCATCAGGGAGTTGAATCTCTTTTGAGAATTGATTTTCATTTTTTTAAAAAATGAAGATTTTGGTGAGAATTGTCTTCTCCCTTATTTTATGAGTATGTACATCTGTGAGCTTGAGGAAATGTTCTGTGGACTACATTTATCCCACTTTCATAAGGAAGATTAGTGTGAGTTCTGTTATAAATAATTTCACTCTCAGGGAAACCATTTGAAGAGTGTGAAGAAACAATATGTCCAGTTCCAGGGTCTCTTTTAGGACATGAGGTGCACATTGAGATGACAAACCCTCTGTGTGAACTAAGCTGCATCACATCTTGGAGATAGAAATACAGATTTTTCTTAACAAATACTTCTCTATCGCTTCTCGGCCTTTTGGCTAAGATCAAGTGTAGTATCTGTTCTTATCAGTTTAATATCTGATACATTCTCTATCCGAGGACAATATATTAAATGCATTTTTGGAATTAGGAGATGGAATAGGAGCTTGCTCCGTCCACTCTACACATCGACCTGGTATTGCAGTACCTCCAGGAATGATGTACTTCCCCCACTTTGGGGAAAAGAAAAAAACAAAAACAAAAACAAAAACAAAACAAAGAAATACTTCTCTAAAGACCAAAGACTTTTTGTACCACACATCACACATATTAGCAGTGAGAAAATATTAATAGTCTGTTCAAGAAGAGTATGAAATGCACAGCAAAATTAAATGAATGAAGAATCTTTAGAAGATTCAAGAGTCATCCATGCAGTATTGTTACTAGAATCAAGAGGAGAGAAAAGAATTATTTACTGAAAGATTTCCCGAATTTTTTTTTCTGTTCTTGAAATAGATCTCTTTTTCTTAATACTGAGATGATGTAATCACCTTAATACCCATTCATTCATTTCAAACGGCACCACAAAAATGAAGTGATAGAGTGAGCTCTGGTGGTTAGTGGCAATAAGTTGTACTGCAACCTCAGAAGTGCATGTTTCGAATCCACCAGACGCTCTGCTGGAGAAGGAGGAACAGTCGTCTCCTGTACCAGTCAGATCCGATTTGACGGTACACATACACCCAAAATAATAAAAATTTAAAAAAATAAATTAAAAAGTAAAGCCCTTGTGGTGATATCTTTAAAGTAGCCATTTTCCTGTTTACATCTCATCTTTCTCAATTTTATTTGCTTCTCAGTGTTTTCAACCGTTTTTGCTATTTTAACATGATTTCATTTCATGTGGTCCACTCCCCATAAGCTCCTTTTTTTTTTAGGGTTGTTTAACCAAATAAAAGCTTTTCTAAGTTTAACCTCTTTGTTGCAGCCAGATTAGGTAGCCATACTTGTCCCTGGTTTCTAAGTGTTTCTATGACATTAAAAGAAACTGTTGCCTCTGCAGCATTAAATCCACCATCTCCTTCACATTATATAGAGATGCTTGAACGTTGTGAGAAGAGTAAGTCTTTGGCAACAAAAAAATTATACTCAGTTTCCAGCATCCATTCAAACAAAGTTCACACATTGTGTTTCTCATCTTTATATATCCCTCTTTCTATACCAAAGCAGTTGCCTAGGGAAAGGATGAGAAAATATTTACAGAATGATGGATATATTTTAATTTTTTAAGTTCCTGGAATTGAGTAACATTGATTTGCCAAATTTGCTTAGGTTTAAGACTTTTAGCATTAACTCTTAAGGGTAGATGAGAAGAATTTATACTAGTGCATTGAGTTCAATTTTGAACAATTTGTTGAGCTACTTTTTAAGATTTTATAAATATAATACAAACTATTAGTATTGTGCTGAAAATTCTATATTTTTCATTTTATTTACCTGAAATTCTTTTATTTTTTTTTGTTTAATTCAAGCTGCCTTCTTACTGGTTTCAGAAGTTAATCCCTTTTGACTGTTGAAATTACTAGAGCCTTTTAGAGTTTCAAATAAATGAGTTAATTGATAAGCAGTAATGTTTAACAAAGATTTAATTTTATTTTTATCACCTTATAATTTTTGAAAATCATGGATGGCTTTTAAGAATTTTTTTTTTAATTTCCGCTCTTGTGGAACTATAGTTTGATATGTCATTTCAGTAATTTTCAGATGAACAATGATACTTTTGCTGGTTAAACTAATTTTTTAATAATCTGGCAGTATTTTCTGGAATTACTTTAAAGATATTAATTAGCACCTTATAGAATTTCCTCTCCAGTACTTTGGAGAGGTCCCTAACAGCAGACTTTCCCATGGCAATACGTCTTCTAATTTCCTGGCTGCTGGTGCCGAAAGTGTGGACTGTGGAGCCAAGCAAACAAACTGTGAAAAATCTCAATCTCTTCAC